AGCACTCCGCTATCCCCGCCCCTAATAAATACTAAATACGTGCTATGCTAAGTGGTCCGTCTTTTCTGCTAAGGCTATGAAGGTGTTCGGATGAGTAGATTGCATGTGAATTTGACCGTTCCAAGCTCTGAAGAAGGCGAAACCGCTGAAACGTCAGTTACTGTGTGATAATAAGTGTTATGCTACCAACCTCGGGTTTGCTTATTGAAGAAAAAACAGTGGATTATCGACCAGCAGGGAGGTCAACTGGAAGTCGATCTTGTGAAAAAACAAACCGATTATATGTACTTTAACCAATTTTTACGTCGATTCGATATGTAATTCGACATATAGTTTAACCTTGATTAAAAGTGCATTAAATAAATCCACTATGTTGTTCACCACAAAGTTTCTCTGACATAAATCTGCTATTTCTCTTAACGGTTTACCGTCATCGTGGGTGCAATGTAAAGGGAAGAATTCGTCTCCCTAACAGGGCATTCCAAGTTGAGAAAGGGACCGGCATTTCCATTAGGAAGCATAGCTAAGAGTGAACCAATACCAGGATCCACCATGGTCTTACTATAAAACCAGTCTCATGGTGGTAACCCTCCCTCTAATCCACAATGACTGCTACTACCTGTAGTGGTGACGACCTGGGGCAGACTTTGGTTAGGTTGACCTCTGGACTCCAGAGAACCACGCTGGCTAAGCCATGAAAACTCTGAAAAAATGGAAATTATACTGATACTCTCACAATCAATGAAGACCGGCCATCAAAACATCCAAGTAATTTGTCCCAAAACTCGACATCTCACTAGAAATTAAACATATGTACGATTTCCACTTCATTTTTACTCAAAACATCAAGGAGCAAAAGAAAAAACCATTACTGAAATAGCTGATGTCCCAACGATCCAGAAACTCCGGACATCCTCGACTCCATCCAGAAACCATGAGAACACCAACTGCCGACAAGAATAACGACACTGAATCTCCTCATCCCCCTATTCACAACCCAATGACTCTTTAACGCAAGAAATCGCCAATGGTGAAAACAGAACCATAAGGACTACACGGGAGTGCAGGACTGCCCCTAACTGCGTATCGTATCACACGCCTAAGAGTCGACGCGCAGCGAAACCGCTCGCGATCGGTCGCGGTGCGCACATCTTGGCGTCCGTATTGATGTTTTTGTTTGTTCGAGATGAGAATACCTTTGTATGCTGACAACTGTCGGTTTTTTTTTACATTGACATTGACTAACACTCTTATTTTTGTTTACTTTTTTGCTTCTTACCCATAGTAGTTTTTCTTAAGTGTCTTAGGTCCTAACGACATGAGGTCCTTAGTTTTTAGTAGAGCCTTAATCCCTAGTGGATTTTTCAGTGCGTAATGTCGGAAGAAGCGCAGGTACAAGGTTTTACCAATGACGAGGAAACCACACAGAAAACTGCACATGTCAAGGAACAAACTGGTAATTTTCTTGCCTTAAAGTTTAGTTTTTCAATTTTGAGTGCTGGTAATCCTACTTTCACTACTGTCACTCTAATGCATTTTCACCTCCTTTTCTTTTTTCTTCTTTTTTGCTTTTGGCTTTTTCTATAGAACTATTTTTTCACCTTCAAGAAGCCTGTGTTCATTTACATGTGACCGTTATGAGTTTTGTTGGATTGTAAACCGCTCTGAAGGTGGGAACAAATTATTGCAAAACTGACCTTACTTTAACTTCAGTATCATTAATCACTATGTATTCTTTCCCTGATAAGCTTGTCAAAAGAATACACACGGGGCCGATCCCACACCTTAGCCTCACTAAGCCTTTCATCCCTACGGGGTCGGCAAAATTGGTTCCAGACTTGTCTGGGAGGGTAGCAGCACTGGCTCGATACATCGGTAGGCCACTACGAGTCATAAAGGCCAGATATGCATTCAGTCACCTCCTCACCTCCAACGATGCTTTGTGAAGTCGAATGCATGGTGCATCTGCAAGGAATTGATCAGAGCCAAGAGCTTTTCTTAACCTATCTCTACCAGTTTGTGTATTAAAAAAGAAACAGAGTTTTCAAAAGAATGTATCATTTGCTTAGTCTTTGATTTTCGTATGAAACGTTACCTGTATGCCATTGTCGTCCAAAGTTTTTACGTAGATATTTACTATGCTCTAGGTATTTATAATGGTGTTTATTATTGTGGTATTGTCTTCATTTGTTATTTACTAGGTGTTATTACGAGGGCAAAGTTCAGTGGTCGAAGTAAATGTGATGAAATTTGGAAATTTTCTGGGTCATGTAAGAACAGTTTTTTTGGTGTATGGTTGTTAGATCCAGTTTTTTTTCTTTTGCAGAGCCAGGATTGGATCTTGCTCCACCCAGCGATGCAGGAGTTCCGAATGGTGATTCAAATGGCCATCCTGAAGCAACAGTCGAGGGTCTCAAATCCTGCGATCCAGCGTCTGCTGTTAAGCCACTAGAAGTAGTAAAGATGTCTTGTACTACTTACTTTAATTAGTGTAACAGATCAGTTTCGAGTGTGAAAGCAATGCTAGCATGCACTGAATGAATGGCGGTTCTGTAGGCACACTTATTTCTTGTTCTAGTGTGATAATACTTCATACAGGATACTGTCATGGATGTTAACGAGCCATCAGAAGCCTCAGAAGCTACCACTGGAGGAGATGTTCCACCAACAGAAGATAAAATGGAAAGCGACTCTGAGAAGTGGGAGGTAGTAGACGATGAGGAGTTGGCTAAAGTGTGTTTGATTTATCGTTATGCTTTTTAATGATGTCGCCATAAAGTGAGGTGCTAGTACTATCAGACAAAGGCCAAGGATGTAAAACTTTATCTCAGAGTAGATATATGTACAATTTTATGTTCTTCGTTTAAAGCGGTTGTGAACTTTTAGGCCAAAGAGGCAGAGGCTGCTCAAGTGCTGAATGAGGCCCATCAAAGTGATGCTGCAACTCGGGAAGAGGAGAACAGTGACGCACAAACAACACTAAAAGCAGAGGTGAAGAAGTGCTTCGTTACAGAGAGAGTTGCTTCATATTGTTTGTGCTTTTCTGTAGTATTGGATTTTCATTTCTTTAAATGTTCTTTAGGTTATGGAGAAAGTTGACCAACATTCTACAATTCCGTCGGTAAATGCGGATGTTTCTATGGAGGAGAACGAAGTGTCAAAAGAGGTACTGACTGCTCCCAGCACGGCAACAGGAAGAGGAAGAGGACGTGGTGGGCGTTATGAGACTGTTTTACATTTTACGATATGACGAAGGTAACTTGTAGCATAGATCATTGTAAGACGTCAAACATTAACTAAAACAATATTTCATAACATACTTTTACATGGATTGGCATTGTTGTGTTACCTCGTGCAGGTAGACTTTCATGGTCCATGGATGCTTTTTTTCCATCAAGGAGTGGTAACATAGTATGACATTTGCAATTTTTCAATTAATGAAACAAACTAATTAGTAGAGTTAGCATGAAATGAGAAAAAGTAGGCAGAACTGTGCGATTCATTCGGCTTGTAAAAACTGTGACAGTTCGTGCCTTGGTTAGTTAAATGGCTTTTATTGTTTGCATTTATATTTGCTTTCTTCCTTACGTAGAGAGAAGGTTACAATGTTTTTCTCTGAAGAAAAAGATTTTTCGGTGTGATGTCGACAAAACTGCACCTGGGATACATACAGTGGAGTTAGCCGTATAAATGAATGTAGATGTACTTTATGTTTACGTATGATGTGTATCTATGGTTTTAAAGGAGATACTTTTGATGGGCGATAGTTGACAGTGACCAATGTTTGATCATTTCTTATTAAAGAGGTTTCTGTAGTTAGTGAGTTATTCTTAGAATTATCCATCTGAATTTACAGCTACTTCGTAAATAATTCCATACCGCTTCTTCCACAGTGTATCAGATGTATATCTGAAAAGTATTAGCTTAGGTCGTGGTCGTGGTCGTGGAAGACCAGCTGCTGTTGGTGGGAATCGAACACCACGTACTCCTCGTGTTGCTACAACTACAACTTCGGACGATGTGGTATGTCTTCTGGCTAACAGTTGTAAAGTTTTTTTGTCAACATCATTTTGACCAAGAATCTACTTATATCTATACATATGTTCTTATGAACCACCATCGTTTAGCTGAGGCAAGGTTGGTACAGATGTTCTTATTATTGTTATTGTTGTCGTTGCCCAATGGCTGACGTTTTGGCGACTTCACTTTCTTCAAACCTTGGACGTACTACATGTAATAGTAGCTCCACAATTCGATGAACTCCATAGTCTTGATGAAGACCCAGCATATTAATAGACGCCAATTTTCAAGAACTACCCACCGTGCTGTTGAATCACTCTCGTGTATTGTTCACGAAATATGATGAATGACACCCACCTCATGGCTGTGTACATCAAAAAAATCATTCTTAGATAAGTCCTATATCACGTGTCATAGCGAGGCATTCATTTTTACCCATTCATCTTTGAAGTTTTGAATTTTATCCAAAACGTCAAGGCGCTAGCCATTGGGCAACGACAACAAGAACAGTAGGAACATCCATGCCTACCTCACGTCAGCTAAACAAGGACAGTTCGTGTGAACGTATATGTATAGGGAGCTATATCGATTATTATGCGGAGGTTTATAGAAAGTCGATCTTTTGAGTTTTCTGCTTATAGCCGTCGTCAATAGCATCGACAAGACCTCGCCGCTCTACATCAACACGCGTAGATTATGCTAATCCGGATACGTCAACAGTCCTTGCCGAAGTAGATGATGAAATTCCTGGAAAACTTTTCCGTGTAAGCTGCTTTTGAGCAAATGTAGAGGTGTTGATCACGTATAGAAAACCAGTGCTTATATCTAATCTAAGAAAGCCGCCTTGGACTTATAATTTTTTCTTTGCCGTGTATATGTCATTATTTCGATTTAGAGCGGGCGTGGACGTGGTGGACGAGGACGAGGCCGAGGTCGAAGAAGAAAGGGAACTGATAGTGACAGCGATCAGCCGGCAAGTGATGACGACGACATTGTAAGCCTCTATCGTTTTAGGTTCGCCATATTCTTTTCCTTTATTCAGAATTTTTTATTCAAGGAATTTGGCAGCAAGAAGAAACGAGGCGCGCTTCGAGGTCGTGGTCGTGGTAGAGGTCGCGGACGTGGAAGGGGAGGTGCCGCAGCTTCACATAAGGTATTTATGATAAAACTCAACTTATTTTATTGTTTAAATGGTGTTGTTTTCGAAGGGGCACGATGATTCGGAAGATGATGATGACAATGAAGTCGTTTTTGATGATTCTAAATCGGACGAAGGTGATGGGGCGGGAAGTGGAGATGAGGTTTAGCAGCTTTTATATGGTTTCCATAGATTGTCCTTAATTTCCTTAGTTTTATACTTGGCGTCACATTTGCATTTTTAGTAGTGTTTTAGGTTATGCCTTCAAAGAAACGAGGAGCTAATACCGACCATAATCTCCCTCCTAAGAAAAGAGGAAGAGTTGCTGACGACTAGAGACTTTCATTTGTGGGTAAACTTTTCTGACCATTCCTATACCTTCTTTTTCATGTTAACCAGTATGATACGTTTATGCTCCATCAAATTAACATTTCTGGGTTTAAAACCACTACAGTCATGCTTATCTAGTTGGATCAATGCCGTCCTTTTCAAATTTGCAGGAAGCGGTCTGGTTCCAGCTTTCAGTGTTACTCGTACGTTAAATGGATTCGCCTCAATATCTGTATTATCTCTGCCAGGTACTCCTCTGTTTGTCTGTTGTTTTATGGTCTATATTGTTCGCATTTGTTTCCTCATTTGTTTCTGTTTGCAAGTGGGAAATATTCATTCATGTCTGACCTCGTGACTGCCTCTTGAAAGTTTTTATAATCATTCATGAAAGTTTAGCTATCATACACTATTAGCAACATTCATCATCTAATAAGAATGCAGCGTTATTTGCTTCCAGTCGTGAAGGTCTTTTATGGACATCAATCAATGCACATGTTTTGTTGTTGTTGTACATATATAACAGTTGTAGAGTAAACAATCCAGGTCTCATTATCTTCTCCTTTTGCGCTAGGTTTGTCATTTTGGTATAAGACATCTAAATTTCCACGTATTCGTGCCTCTACTGGGACTGAGACATCTCATCTAAGCAGTTTCGTTGGGATATAAAATATCCATTTTATCGTTCGTTCAACGAACCTAGTATTTCTGTATTATTGCTACGAAATATTCTTCTGTAGGTGGAGAGCTTTTGCGAAATTCAAGTTTTCATGGGGGCTTTATGGTAGCGTTTTTATTTCCAAGTATCAGGTATAACGTCTATATGTAGCCAAGCCACTTATTAGTTTTTCCTCACAGCACGCCTTATTGCGCTTAGGTGATGCGTAAAGAAAATAGTACTGTCCTTGTTTCATAAAATAGCACTTAGTAGTGTATTTCGAATACGCTTGATGAGTTGTTTGAGGATCGTTAGAGATTATTCTTTGTACAACTGTTTTGTTTGTTCTTTAAGGTATGTTTTGGCATTGTCGTAGAGAATCGATTAGGCAGATTTCCAATTAGTAATCTCTGTTTCCTTAAGCAAGTTTGAAATCGTACCTTCAGCTTGTTCTATGCCAACAACCTCATTTTGTAAATAGATTGAGTTTTCAAATGTTTTTTTTTCATTTTTTATTCTGGCAAATTATTGGTTTCCTATTATATTATTCAAGAGAGCATGCAATGAATGCTAAGCACCTAACGTCTTTGTTTTTAGAACGTAAATATGACGTTATGTGTTAATAAACTCTTTGTTTGTTGCTCCACACCAATCAGTGGCAGAAGTATAACGTTCTTCTCGTGAGTTATGTCTGTACAATGAATAGAACTGCTTAGTTCGGAAAATAGTGTACGGTAGTTTAGGAATGATTTTGGAAGATAAGCAAGCCTTATGCAACAGGGAGGTAGGTGCACAGTGAATTAATTAGCAATCCAAGGTTGCAATACGGTACTGAATAAACGAATATAGTATGGAGTGTTTGTCTCTATCATCTTTGACTTGTGAAAAAAAACGAGGGTCTTCTGGTAGTAACGCTGAGATATCTAGGAAAAGCTTTTCCCAGAGATCGCAGCGTTACTGCCAGAAGACGAGGTTAATGAGGTGCTCTACGGTTTTCGTCAAATTATTCCATTAGTGCTGCTGTCGGTACCTAACCCACTTGAAAACAAAGGTCGTCGAAGTACGATTGTCATTCTGCGGTTGTTTTGTAGGTTGGTAATGAGCATCCCAAGCTCAGCAAAGTGGTCGGCAGAAAATGGTAGGTCCCAATATAAACTTCTTGTTGCTTCTCGGTGTGAGTATTGTATGTGAAATAGTATTTCACAGGAAATGGTCCAGTTCGTTTGTGGCACTGTTCGCTTCAGCACTATTATTTTCCTTCGCACTTGTCAATATGTACGATATGCAGCTAACGGTTGATGGATTATGTGAGAACTCATGCGAGTGAGTCCCCTAAGAACAACTTAGTCAGCAAAATATGGTTGTTTTTCTAGCATACAATTTGTTGAAAGTATTCCTACTGGGATGAACTTCTCCAAAGGTCCAATTCATCGTTCCACATATGGCGCTTGGATTGATTTGTTCAACAACGCGACTCGTACGATTCATATAGCTGCGTTCTATTGGAATTTGAACTCGTCAGATTACCGGACATCTGACTTTGGACGACGCGTGTATGCACAACTTGTTAGTGCTGGTCGCCGAGGTGTAGATGTGAGTTGTCCAAATAATTTGAGATAATGCAGAGATCGATGAAATTCATAGTGTTTATACGTTGTAATAAATCAGAAAAATAGACAAATAGAGACGGATGAGGGATAATGGATTTCGTGGAGTTGAACAAGGTAAATTAAAGGGGAGTGAGAGATATCTTGATTTGTTCCCGAATACCAATATATGACCTATTGTAGTTCCATCATTGTATATCGTTTTGTGAATGTATCAGCATTTTAAGGAGTTATATCAACGCAAAGGGGCGCTTGTAGCCCAGTGGTCGGGAGAGCCATGCAATACACATGGGATCGATCCTTGCGCTGCAGTTTCACCAAGCCCTCCATCCTTCGCGGTTGGTAAATTGGTAGCACACTTGCCTGGGAGGATAGCAGCACTGGCTCGTAGCATCGATATGCCTCCATGAGGCGATGCGAAAAACCAGATATGCATTCAATGACGTCCAACGATGCTTAATGAAGTCGAGCGCATGATGCATGCGGACTAACGCCGAGTGTTTTATCTTTTTTTAGTCATGTCAACATTTAAATGTGAACTCGACCGGTTTGTATATTAAGCACTTCCTTATCCCTATAGAGCTAGGTCCTTTTTTTTTCTAAAATAGTACGGTTTTGATTTCTAAACCAATCTTTACGCATACCAGTACTTTGAGAGTTGCAGACCATATTTGTTATTCTCTATCGTCAATAATGCGATCAGGGAGCACTGTTGCGTCCCATTGGATGAAATTCCGTCTCCAGTTGCTTTGCTTCTCGAAATTGAAACCTGTATGAAAAAACCCATTAAAAAATTCCTTAAGCAACAGAAATTTCAGGTCCCGTCAGAATATGAATGTATATCAGAATATATAGGATTTCATTTTGTTGACAATTGCGTAAACCCGAGCACATCGTCCATCTGCTTCCTGCGTCTTCGTTATCCATGGTGTTGGTCTGTTTCTTGCATGGCGACGCCCGTTGGACGCATTCCGTCACCTAGAAATCGTGTCCATCCTTAAAATCATGCAGTTGCCGTGAACTTAAACACGTGCACCTATCGTTAACGTGTTCATGCACCTCTCACATCCTGTTATCCACTCCACAGTACTTTTCGTCTATAATCTGTTCATCTCATTACATGACCGGCCTAGCTGATCTATATTTCACTATCGGTGTGAAATTTTCTGGATATTAAATATGGCATAGAAATCGAACATCTGAATATAACATTCCCGCTAGTGAACTGGTTAAGTCTCAGAAGACATTGTTTAAGCGCTCAGACCAAAAATGGCCAAACGAAGTGATAGGATTGTCGAATGAGATGACATCTAATTGGGATATGTCGGATTCCTCGCTTCTCGTCTTTTGTAAAGCAAGCCAACTACCTCAAGTTCAATCTAATATATTCTAAAAGAATGGAGTTTTTCCGATAGGGGGCGTCTTCAGCTCTCAGATCTCTTTCGAAAAATTCGTTTTATGACAATAAATGGCATAAGGTACCATGATCTACTTTTTCATTATTAGATACGAATTGCGCAAGACGTGAGTAAAGGTCTGTCGGATAATAAGGATTCAAAATGGCTGTCTAAGATGGGTCTGGCTAAGGTAAACAGGTAGCTCTCACTCTGAACATTGTAATACTGCTTTCTTAGTTTTCGTTTGCAATTTTCCATCCTTTTACAGGTTCGTACGGTGGATTTTAAAAAGTTACTCGGCTTAGGTGTTTTGCACAGCAAAGTCATCATTGTGGATCTAGAACACGTCTATGTTGGCTCAGCGAATATGGACTGGAAGTCACTCTCTGAGGTCTATCCCCGCTTTCTTTTCTGCCACTTTTTATCGTACGAAGTTTTTTAGTTCCGTTTAGGTGAAGGAGTTGGGACTGTACATACGGAACTGTCCTTGCATCGCTACTGATTTATTTAGAATTTTTAATGTATATTGGTACCTGGGACAGGTATGAATTAGATTAAACAAGTTCATGTAATGAACGAAACACTCTATTTGCTATTTTAGGAACGTGCTCAAATACCTTCAAAGTGGCCAAAGTCATTTGAAACTTCGTTTAATCTTAAATCACCAATGAAAATGTATTTCGATGGTGTTGAAACAGATGTTTTCTTATCGGTCGGTGTTTTTCAACATTGTGGTGAACATCTACTTAGAAGGCATAGGCGCAATGTAGTAGTTCTGGAGTCGGTCATCCTACTTCGAATTAATATTTTGAGACAATGTTCTTTGTGCTCATAAAAGAAGCTATATTTTGGATTGTTTCCATTACTAAATTTTTTTATCTACTGTCTCTTACAATTTCCTACTAAAGTTTTTAGTTTTAGAAGAAGAAAGAAAAAAAATCAAAGTTTTGAACAGTGGGAAAAAGTACAAATTGTATACAAAATTGTAGTAGGCAGTAGACAAAAAATTGATGAGTTTTCGACTGCATCCTCATCTAACCTTGGTTAAATGCCGATTTGTGCTCCCCAGATCAATCCTGTTGACGGGTGATTGCTGATTGCACTGATAGATAAAAAAAACCGCTGAGAAAAAGACGAAATGGAGGACCCGCATGATGTGGTGGTGAATGCGCCACCCACCAGAAAGCGTAGTATCGTGTTTGATCCCCACCGCAGACACCTGCGGTCCAGGGTTCTCAGAATCATTGTGGTTGTAATTTCTATTACATCTTCCTTCTTTCTATTCCATCTTTCTATTACATCTTCTTTCTAATTCATTCAAATCCGTATCATACATTTGACTCGATTTCTGAACGAAATCTTGGAAAGTCATGTTAGTGTCATTTAGGATGTAATCAAATAAGTTAGAAGCCGTGCCGATGTCTTATGTTACCAAAGGGTAGCGGTATCGTTTTCATTCATAAGTTCTGCAATCCAGTGTTAACAGGTATCATCTGTGAAAATCGTTATTCATCGAGTAACGTGAAGGGATACCAATAAGTTCCATTTGTTGTCTTTTTCTCAGCGGAGCTCATCAGCTAATTTGCTGGAGGGAAAAGTTTTTGATATCTTGCTATAGCAGCTGCTAGTGGAAATTTGGTCTTCGAGTAAGTTCTCGGCATCTTATGATCGCTAGCTTTGAGTAGGATGCTCGACTTCGTAGAAGTTGGCCCACGGGACTTTTTCGTACATGTCGCAGAGCAATATCTCAAACTTGGGCAATTAAACCGTTTATAACAATAATCATTCAAGAATAACGAAATATAAACATTGGTCCATACAGACTGCAGTTGTTCCCAAGATCGACTTCCTATTAACCTCGGCATTGGAATATGAATATGTCGTTTTCTTGTTCAGCAATCGCGAGGTTTTTAAACAGCATACATTTACTTCCATGGAAAAACACACAATACAACACTAGCTGACGTTTCGGCAGTATCGCCTTCTTCAAAAACCTCACGATTGCTGAACAAGAAAACGACACACTGCAATATTGTATCATAATCAATAAATGGGTGTGATGCGGGTTAGTATCATTGCTATAGGTACAGACATACATGACAGCAATGTTAATATAAAAGAGTTACCACATACAACAAGGGAGAACACCTTAGATTGACTACAAGGCGCATTACACACGATGAACAGGGGGCGAATACGGGTATTGACGAACGGGGCTCTTTAAATATCTTCTGGAGGAGGCGGTGCTTTGGCACAGGTCAACCTTTACCGAAAATACTTATCAGCTCGCGTTTCCAGCTCCCTTATGGTAAGATGACTGGGGACGATTTGCGGGACAGCTTCATGCCCCTTTGTGTTATCGTACCCATGATGGTTTGGAACAGATGCAACACACAAAGGATTCCGATTGTATAAAATGAGTGTGGTTCACAAAGGATGTTTACAACAACCAAAGTTTCTCTCAACGAAGTGAAAACGTTTACATGCTGCAAGATCGCAAAGCGACGTAAGAGATCAGGAATATGGTTACCACAGACCTACGATATGATGAATGAATAGTAACTATTCTGGCAATAGTTGCTATACATGCTCTTCTTCAGTGTTTTTGACGAGGATATAGCCACAGACGGCTCGCCTAGTCCATTGTCAGCACAGATTTAGTCTCATCTGGACTTCTGAGTGGAAATGTCTAGAACTTTCTCTGTTTGGAAGACCCCGTTGGAGAATGAAGTTATCGCTACACTTTCCAGTCGGACACCCCATGCCATCCATCTGCTGCTATGAGGCATAGGACATTAGGCTGAATCCTGCGGCATATTGTTGGAAGGATAGAAAATTCTGCCAGCAGAGTTCTCAGGCTTGCTAATTGTGTGTTGTATTGTCTTTAGAGTTCACCAACTCCTTTCAATCCTAAAGGACGCGAACATGACTTGGAAGCGATTACTTCGACTATTTCATTAGCCGATCGAAGTATTTGTATAGCTGTTATGGATTACATGCCACAAACGTTGTACATGGATGATGACAATAGGTAAGCTTATCTTATTTTAAGGTTTTGCACAATTAAGTACACAATTTGTGAAAGTATATTGTACGTAGATACTGGCCTGTTATTGATGATGCGATTCGCTCAGCAGCATTCAGAGGAGTTTCTGTAAGATTGCTAGTGAGTAACTGGACACACTCCAATCCTCACCAGCTAGCGTTTCTGAAGAGCCTCATCGCTGTCAATGATGGTTTGCCGAAAATAAGGGGACGCGAGGGGAGTGTTGAAGTGGTTAGTGTCCTATTTAGCAATAAAATCTGTATCCTTTTTTTTACATCGTCGATTTGGTAAACCGTAGAACTTTGTAGGTAGTTTTTTTGGCGGGTTTATTTTTTGTTCCACAGGGTTAAGTCACCATGGGTTACAATATGAAAATCAGTAAAGTCGTGTGCAGTCCGATCTTATCTACAGTTGAAAGCTTCACTCATTCTTAATTTTGTTCTTTTCTAACTTTTCTGGTTGAGCAAGATAAATCTGTATAACAAATATTTGTTATTTCCAGTAAAGGCTAGAATATCGAGTTTCAATTTTTTTTCGTTTTTTAAGCTACTGCTTTGATTAATATTTTATACAACGAAGCCCATACTACCGGAGCAATAAGAGGCATGAAAATTTTCATGATTAAAGTCGCTCTTCTATTAATCCTCTTACTTGGATACTTGGATAGTTGAATGGTCCGTCCTCATGAGTTGTGAGGACCACAGCACATTTGCTATTCGTTTCTTTCCATCGCAATCGTCGTTCATGGTGATGGTTTTGTTCGAGCATGGTAGCGCGTACGAGTCTTATACCGTAATCTGTAAAACAGGTGCACCTGAGAGTAGAAGTGATTGACTTTGAATACGAACACATCCGTTCAAAGCGAACATGGCCGTCCTAGAGAAGTTTACATTCTCGTGAAGTCGACTACAGTTTTTTTCGTCCATCTGTCATCTGTTCTTCTCATTGTGGGACCGGCCGGCCCATATCGCTATCGATGCTCCTGGATTTCGAAGCTTAGAGCTTCGCATTTCGGCTAGATATTGAAAGTGCCGGTTATATTTCAGAAGACATCGCTCAAGTGCTCTGTGGGTAGTGCAAATTATTGTTGACGTGGTTGTAGTATCGGCCTACTTCTCTGTAGCATAACAGAGTGCTGGTAGGACTATTGAATCAAAAAGATGAGCGCGGGTTTTCGGGTTCTTCAGTTGCTCGCTGGTGAGAGACCCGAATGCGACCCAGGCTGCTGTCCCGTCTAGTTCCTCCTTCATGTTGTTTTCCATGCTCATTGATCGCCCAAAGCATACGTATGAGGTGGTCTCTGCAATCAGAAAGCCATCCAGTCCAATTTTTTCCCCTTCGCACCACGGATTTTTCATGAGCTGGGTCTTCTTTCGATTTATGCGCAGTCCGATCTTTTTTCTGCTTCGTTGAGTGCTTTGATCATCGTCTCTGCTTGTCGGTACTTCTTGAGAAGATGATGTCAGTGGCGAAACGGTTTGATAGGAATATTCTATCAGTACGTATGTCTTTCTCATCCCAATCAACTTCATTATCCACTGCAGTGCGGCACTGAACAGCTTTGGCGATATTATGTCGTTCTGTCGAGCTCCTTTTCCAATGGGTGTGCTGAGAGATCGGTGGAAAAGCTGTATTTTCGTGGTGCAGTTCCGATAAAAGTCAGGTAGAGTTCTTATGTAGAATCGGTCCACACCTTGGCCGACGAGCGCTGATAGGATTGCAATCGATTCGACACTGTCAAACACTTCATAGTCGACAAAGGTGAGGTTTAGAAGTAGGTGGTACTATTAACAGACTTCTATGGCCCGTGTCATGGTTTGGATGTGGATCATACCGCCGAATCCTTGTCGGGATTCTGCTCTCTCAAATGGTTGTCCTCATCCAAGGCCGTTGATATGCGCAAAATGATAATCTTCCTTAAAAACTCGGTCGATAGTTACAAAGATCCCTTAGGACATCTTTTCACGGGAGATGACCGTGCGCAACGTTCTCAGCTTATCTGAGATTTTATTCCTCTGTAGGTTGTCACTTTGACGGTTGCGAATGGTATTTGTGGCCTCCAGCTATAAGAAAATCGGCGATAATATTTCTTGCTCCTGGAGTCGTGCCTCTGTTCATGATTTCTATCGCAACATGAACTTCATAGGGTGGAACTGTGGACGGTTCTTCTCTAACAGTATTTCGGGGTCCGAGAAGAGAATTGTGGAATGGAAAAGATTGCTGCAGAACTTTTACGTTATCAGTTCCTAATTATGGTGAGGTGTGGTGATAATCCTATCGTTGGTAATTTCCGTTCGGATGGATAGCGGAACACGATTATCCCTCAGATGCCTACCAAACTTCTTTAGATTGAATCGCTTTTGATCTGCTTCCATTAGCTTTTTTTCTACCGATGTGAAACCTCCTGCAATAATCTTCATCGGCTGGCATTTATTGTCAGACGTGTTGGGTGTGTTCCAATAGGACGAAGCTTTAGTTTCGTTCTCTTTCCGGTCAGCTATTTATTGGTAATGGAGATATTGTTTCAACTTCTTTTTTAGGGTTTGAGTCGTGTTCGACACAAGTTTGAAGTCCGTTGACAAGCAACTTGTAGTCTCTTGTCGGCTCTTCCTTTGTTTTCCAGTCATATGAAGAGAGTATTTTGTTGAAAATACCATCATCAAAGGCAACTTGTCTTGCTTTTTGTGTACTATGAGTGGTGTTCTTCTCCATCTTATGAGTGAATCGATTCTCCGCATAGAGAAGGCGGTGATGGAATCCAGTGCAGAATACAGTACCAGTGAGGTGTCAACGAGGCATAATTTTGTTCGTGCGACTCCCATGTCTATCGACGACGTTCTCTCTTCTCGAATAATGACTTTCATGGAAATAACGCTCTGCTGAAAGGAGTCCTGCAGGAGGGTTTACACTCTCATTTCGATCTGCAGTTGCAGATCAAAGTAAGGATGGGATCGTAAATAAGTGGAATTATTTGAATTTTCTCAATTCGTAGAGGAGAAAGGGCTTTGCCAAATTTTCTAGTTCGCTGAGGATCTGATCGAGTATTTTGAGAGGTATAGGGGCACTGAATGGGAAGCATTCTTGATCATATCCATTACCTGGACTAATTATAACAATGGTCGTTTCTAATTCATAGGGAAGGTGCTGGATATGCTGCAGAAAGTGCTAATGAAGTCCTTATCGTTGGAAATTGCGGAATATGTGAGCAGAGGTGAATTCCTAGAGAAGTTGTGTCCTTGTGAGTAGAGTGCAATTCTGAGCCATAGAGTGTTAAAAGAGCTGAATTTGGTAAATCCGCTAAGAATTCAGATGAAGTGCGCCGCCATTTCACCATAAAAACAATACATTTTATTATGGAAGCATCAGGTTTTGTTTACTTTATGCTACCAGAAGTTTTTCAAATCTTTTGGGAAAGAAGAACAATCTTGCTCATTGTACCCAACTGAAGACTTGAAGGAGGCAAAAACTTTAAATTTTTTCGATTTCAAATCTATTGCAATTTCTTACAGTATTTTTGAGTATTCGCATTTTCCAGTAAAATAAGTTTTTTCCTTAAGAAATTGTTTACGGTGACGTCTTCTGAGGAACAGCAGAAGATTCCGTTCGCTCGTGTTAACCATAATAAATACATGGTTACTGATAAAACTGCCTATGTCGGTAAGTCTTACACATTAACTTCTTTCTCTGGTTATTTTGTAAATCTTGAAAGGAGGAAAGTTGCTTGCAGTTACTTACAAGAGCATTATGCTTAGGAAATGCTTCAGATTCATCTTCTTCTGAATAAATTCTATATGTTGCCTACGAAACCAGGGTAAACTGTGAATATACCATGTTCCTACATTAGAGATTAGAGCAAAATTATTATACGTATTAGTCACTAAGTGCAGTAAAATTAAAGGTCCCATTATCCCGGTACTGGAAAAGTTCTGACAAAGCAGAATTCGATATATCGAGTACGGAGTAAACATAGAACAATTATAGGCCACTTAAATCTACAACAGTGTTCCGTGACGATGCGTACTTGTAGAAAATGCATCGGAAACTTTTTTTTTCTTTGAAGATCTGATAGTGCAATATAAGAAAATCAAGAATGACTAGATGGTACTAGGAAACTATAAACTGTTGAAGATACTGAGGAAAGACTTTTGCTCGAAACATGGGTTTAGCAATTTGACAATGTAAAATGTCTTCGCCAACACGAGTTTGGCCATTGTTCCCAACTCTTTTGAAGAACAAATGATCAGCACTAAACGTTTGTCGTTGAGAAGATCTTAAGTACTGTCACCTTTGATAGTATTTATTGCCTAAGCCAAATCATAAAGATGCGACTACGAATTAGGTGAAGCATTCTGCTTATCCTTTGAACTGGTCTATAAGGAAGATCATACCTTCTTCAGTTAACCCATACGGCCATGTGTAGACACCATATTGTCCATGGCGATCTGGAACGAATTACCGTATTGACATCATAGCGTCCATGTTTTCGTGCATTTCAGAGTTGCTTATGAGATTGTGTACAATCATTCGATAGCTAATCGATATGATATCGAAATATTAGGAGTGAGACCAAAGAAGTCCTATACACTTAGTGATATACAAAACACTTTTCATCGAAATTCTTCAGTGACCGGTAATTTCACTAACAATTAACTGTTGTTTCATTTTGATCTCTATGATGAATTATGATTATTTTATGGAATATGTGGGTATAAAAAATACCGAAGGAGACTCGACATGAGCTGAAAACTACTTTGAAATGCATACAGCAATGTTTGCATGGTAGACCATAGTAACATATAGTAAAGGTTCTAGCATACGTACCATTCATTCCCATAAAACGACCAAGTAAAGCCTTTTCTACAATCGTGTCATGTTCAAAACCATTTAACTCCTCTATTCATTGAGAAAAGAACTTTTATTGCTAAGAAACTGGAAGGTCCTCAGCCGATGAAAAATTCCTGGTAATCATTTGGGCTAGCCCCGAAGTACGTTAGCTGGGCGTTATCGGTTAATCATCAACCACTTCCAAAATTGACTTCAATCTACTCCGCACTAATTACTTCACAGCGGGAACCTTGAACTACACGAGTTTGGAGGTATGCTTCCAAAGGCTCTCGTGAAAATTCCGTTCATCTGTGGTAGTACCCATTCCAAAAGCCTTATTATCAACATTTGACATATAAATCTATTGCTGGATATTACCAGTGTGATGATAGCATCTATAGTAATAGTGGTAGTGATGTGAGGTGGTATCGCTTTGCCTAACCCTTCTTTTGACGTCAATGTTAATATCGTGGTAGAATGGTGATATCTTCGTTGTGAAATTTTTGTACAGCTCACGAAGAGTTTGTACACAGTAGGGACTCTCTGACCATCAAGGGGTTCCATGACTGCCTCTATCTCAGTTGAGTCAAAAGCCTCTTTAAATAAACGAAGGTAAGACAGAGCGGTCTTTTGTACTCTCGCGATACCTCAATGACCCTGGTTACCGTGTGGACGTGCTCCATCGTACTAAATCCCTTTTGAAACCCTGCTTGCTCACATGGGTGTCCTTCGTCTAGTGTTCTGCCAATCGTGTTTAGGATGACTCGAGTGAAAAGTTTGTAGACGACAGACAGGAAGCAGATTTGGCGATAGGTTGCCGATATCGTGTAGGTCACCCACCTTGAACAATAACACTGTCTTGTTGGTCTTCCACTGAGTAGAGACCTTGCATTCAGACAGGTAACGTGTGAAGTGTTGAGTCAGTGTGTTTAAGAGGACTGGCGGAAGGTTCTTCAGGTGTTTTGGTCTTATCCTGTCCGGACCTGATGCTGTTCGATTTTTCACCGACGAAATGGAATGTCGGATTTCGGAAGGGAAAACTCGGTGGTACAACACATCCATCCTCATGCTGAATGTTTTTCTCAATTGCCTTTCTGGACACCGTAACTGTTCTATCTGGGCTTCCGAGTGCTGTCATCGTGGTCTTGTAATTGGCGAAGCTTCGATGGACTTTGCGAATGCTTTTCCCAGCCTCTGCAGCTTCGACCAATACTGCTGCTCTTCTCTCTTTAAGATTTTTTTTATCGCCTGTGCGCATTGTTTTACAAATTCGGACGCTAGTTTGCGGATGCCCGCGGCTCGTGCGGTTCCACGCTGGCGTGTCAGCTCGAGTGTTTATGGAGACGGACGTCTCTTGGTGACTTTCGAAATTTCGGCTTTTGTAGCGCTAATTTGAAGGTGTTGAATGAGCCGATCGTATTCTTCGCCGATGTTATCAACAGCGGCATCTTCCAACAGTCGACTAAAGAATTGAATAAATCCCAGTTTATGGTGGTTGTGGAACTTCGGTTTTTGTATTTGGCGGCTTTTTCTCCTTTCTGCGAGAAATGAAATCTTGCACGAGGGAGGCGGTGGTCAGATTCCTCATAGAATTTTGGGACAACAGCGAAATCGGTTAGACAAAACCATCTATTTACTGTGATGTGATCTACTTCGTTGTGATACTCTCCACTAGGAGACTTCCACTTCCAGCGTTGAGGGTGCGGTTTCTGGAATTGCGACTTACCATGGATGGTCTTGGTCGTCATGATAAACTGAGAGTGCTGCTCACGCTGTTCGTTCCATTCTAATCCCCTGGTCCCAATATGAAGTTCTTTCGATGTTCTTGGTCCAAGCTTGGCTGTAAAATCTACAATGATGACCTTGAAGAATGTATGATCTCTGTAGACCTTCTCCAAGTCCATATAGAACGCTTCGACTTTTCTTCGTAATATTTTGATGTCGGCGCGTAAACGATGAAGATTGTCAAAGCCGGTATTGATCCACATCTTTTTAATCGTAAACGTCCGATTCTTGTTAGTTGTTCTAATGGATCGATGTTCATGAACAAACTCATGTTGATGAGAATGCCGACACCGCCGACTCCTCTACTGTCGCATGTTCCAAGGAACATTTCTCCGATGTCATAGACGGCGTTGAGTGGGTGGCGTCGTCTCGTCTCGCCCAGGGCAATGGCGTCATATCTTATCCTTCTTGCTTGCATAAGCAAGTCTTCTTTCGAGGACTCAGATGCAAGTGTACGTGCATTGTAGGTACAGATCGTCACCTTAGTTCTTTTCGATCCAGCTTTTCCAGATAGCTGAGCTAAATCGGGATCGGTGAAAAAACTTTTATTGGGATAACGTTCAACGCCTTTCGTCATACCGTGTTGATCTGAGTTGGTCCTGCTAGTTTTCCGGTAACAATAACATTGTGTATTCGACTGCAGCCTCAGCTTAACTGGGGTGAACGCTGACTTGTGCTCCTCAAATCAATCTGTTGACTGGTAGATGCTGATGGCCTTGGTAGATTAAAAACTAGCTGAGAGAAAGGCGAAACTAAGGATCCGCATGGGTGGTGGTGAACGGGTTAACCGCCGGAAAAGGTTCGAAAAACGTGTTCGATCCCCACTGCATACACCTACCGTCCGGTGTTTTGCTAATATCATTGCAATATCATTGCAATATCATCATCATCAGCATCATTGCTGTTGTATTTCACATAATACCTTGCTGTGAAGAATTCTGGTAAATAGTAAATAAAAAGTTAACATCATAACAAAACAGTTATTTATAAATTAGCAAACTATTTATTCCGTTTTCATGGTTATGAAGGGAATGGAATACGATAATACTGGAGTAAATGAGATGTTTTCTAGTAGCATCGTGGTCGCTTTGTTGATGGGACTGTTCTCACCAATCACTCTCACTATTCCTATTACTAATTATTTAGCTGTGAAAAAAAAGAATAACAAAAATCAAAAATGCGGCTTTCGACTAACCTATTCGAATCGTCGTAGTAAGTACATTGTTGTTGTATACTACATTGAAATCACGTACGCGTGGAAATCACTTTGAAATAGAGCTCCAGAAGGAAACTTCTATTTCTTTCCTTTCCAGGTACGTCTAACTGGGTTGGTGATTACTTCATCTCAACAGCTGGTGTTGGAGTTGTCATGAATAATCGTGAAGGAAAAGGCGTTGTTGAGGAACTACAAGCTATTTTTGACAGAGACTGGGATTCTAATTATGCAGCAGATATCTAAAGGCTGTTTTTAAAATTACTGCGTTCACAGTCAACAATTCAATGATCTTTTCTCATGTACTCTACGGGCGTAGTCTGTTGTGCTTGGCATGCTTTCTTGTGTACTTGCGTTAAATATATCGATTCAGGTCTTCATGGATTAGAATTATTTCCATCTGTGAATAAATTTTCTCAAAGCAGAACTTGAAAGGTGCCATTGCAGTTGTTTTTAGCTTTTTATTTTCTGAATTACCAAGTTATCCGGTCCTTTTTGACTTGGTGCAAATATTCTAAGTAGGGAAGCGGGTCTCAGTGTGGGTTATTTTATTTTGAGGGAGTTAATGTACCATGTAGGTCGAGAAGAGCATGTATTCAAAAACATCCAACTGGAGAAGAAGCTAGAACTTAGGTGTATTGAATCTGCATGCGTTTTCAGTATGGGAGTTCAGTTGATGTTGTATTCCAGCGACGGACGTCGTCTTTCGCCATATGGAATTTTAGATTTCTTGTCAAGGATATTATACAATTGAAATTGGCAAATACTTAATATGAGCGTGCTTCAGTTAGAGGAGTTATCAAGTTGCTCTTTTTTTTACAGTCAGTCATTCGGTGAGTGAGTACTTGTTGGAATATATTGTCCCTTGATAAGGGCACTCTATTTTTTTTAACACATTAGATTGTCTTGTTCTATGGGATGTTTGCGAAATGCTGATCGTCCTGTAAAAATGACCCGACCAACATGCACATGCTGATCGCCGTTTTCAAGGCCTAACCTGGAGTTCAATGTGTATTTTGCAGTGAGAATAGTCAATTAGGAAGCGGTCGTACTACGAAATTGTTGGCTTGACACTAAAATTGACATGTTTTCTTCAAGTGATAGGTAGCGTAGAGAAGTCCCCACGTAAAATGATGACTTTTCTTCCATTTGGGTTCTTCATGCTTCCGCTTCAGTTTCCTGTACGTCTATCGCCTGTCTTATATTCCCAAAATGCTATACTTTATTTTTCTTATGGACGCTCCTGTAGTTAACCACCTGTCACTGAAAATTCCGTTCTCTTCTTTCGTTCTCTTCTTTTCTCAAAAACCAAAAAATCATGCTTGAGAGATCGTAGAGTAGCTGGTTCCGTCAACTAAGCTGTCAGAGACATGCACCAATTAGATGAAATCTAAGTTTTCAACAGTATCTCGGTATTACAGATTACATTGGATTCTGCACAATAGCCTTGAGAAGTTGAAGATAGGAGCACATAGAACAGCAGGCGAGTTATGACCGCTATTATTCGCTGATAGACAATCCTTCCGCGAAATGTTAACCGGGTCGTCTTTGCTGTGCACAGAATGCGCAGTGTTTTCCTTGATTACTGCACTTTATAAGCTACTCAGCATTTAGAAGAACTAGCTGAGAGACAGGCGAAACGAAAGACTGTGGTGGTAATAGTGTTAGCCCCCGGAAAGGGTAATAGAGCGTTGGTGCCCCACCACAGACATCTGCGGTCCGGAGTTTTGAAAATGTCTCAGCATCATTGTGGTTGTACTCATTATTCATTTTCTTAAGTCACCCGACTTCACATCTACTGTGCTGATCCCAGCACGTCTTGCATTCGGTTCGTTTATTCCTATCCATCATCCAAAAAGTATTTTTTTGCATATGGGTTCGGCCGTATATTTAGGATTTTTGTCACTATCAGTTAGTTGTACTAGAGCGGCGAATGTGGATTTCAGGGAGTAAGTTGATTCAAGACAAGTTTGAGAGCGATTCAGAGACCCCCAAGGGATTTGAGGCTTGATCAGCATGGGCTAGAATCGAACAGGCACCATGCTCGTGAAGGACGGTATCACTATAACTGCGCTACCTGAGTCCTATTCTAAACTGTTTGTTTCAAAGAACACTTCCGCAACATTCTCGAATAATGGATAATTTCTGAGTAGAGAATTCATTGTTCATCTACGATCCACAATTTGAAATTATTCAGAGGACGTTTAAAGAATAGAAATAATTGTGCTCGTTGTGCTTTGTTAGCTTTCACCTGTCTCTTCTCTTTTCATCCTTTGTCAGACGATGAGAAAATAATGGACACTTTTGAACTTAAGTCAACATGTCTCAGCTTGTAGTAATTTCTCTTTTTTGAAATAAAAGTTATTTAATGACAGAGTTCATATTTCAGGCACTAAAGCCAATGAACAAGTGGGATTTCGCCCCACCTAATGCGAGGGTGTAGCGCTTATGTATGACGCTTCCTTTCTTCCGCTCAAAATTTCAAACCATGACTTTTGTTGCGAATTTTTCGAAAGTTTTATTCTAAACATAGTTAAAATTTAAAGGAAACTAAGAAAACCGTATATGCTACTAATGCGATAGACCGAATTATCTTCCAAAAATTATTCAAGAACCGAATTTTTTAAATACTTTAGTGATCGGGAAACTATTGTCAGTTATCAAAAAACCAGGTTCATTGCGAAAGCGTTAATGATGTGAACGAGTCTAGTAGCCACGGAAATGTGCCGGCCTGAGTGCTATCAGTGCGGCACCTTCCAGGCAGTACCTGTAGATAACCAGTATCTTGTTAAAATTCTTTATTTTTTTTTCAAAAAAAATTCAAATTTTTAAAATTCAAAAACCTTTAGATAGCTTTGCTAGAGCTTTCTCAGGTCTTCATCATAGGCAATCTCTAGACTTTGTGGATTGGGAGCGAATTCTTTATAGATAAAGGATAAGGTGATTGGATGCACATCTGGCTTATACAGTAAGTCGCGGTAACCTACTGATGCATCGAATCAGTGATTCTATCCTGTCTGGTATCAGTTTGCCAACCCTGAGGAGATGGAAGCCTTGGTGGACATGGAGCGCGAAATCGAAGCCATATGCATTACAGGGTGCACCTCCGACTAATGCGCTACACATACCCTTTTTAGGTAGGCAGAGCAGTAAACTGCGATATCAGAATGGGTTGGAGGCTCGCTTAGCCCATCGTTAGGTCGAACCATCGACTGCGTATGTATTGCATGCCATCTAAAACAATACGCTTCCTGCACCAACAGCTCTTATGTCCGATTTTCTCAAGAATAGCATTATTGTGCGATGTGAAGGACGTGTTCCTTCTTACTCGACTGAATGTTCTTGATCGTTTTAAGACTATGTTTGTTGTTTTTGTTCGTATTTTTTTGAGCAAACGCGAGGTGTTATTGTTTCTTTGTTCACGATTAAGCTGACGTTTCGGCGAATTTCGCCTTCTTCAGAGCCTGGAAAGGTCAAGTTGATAGCAACCCACTCGGCCAGACGCCTCCATAACCAAACAAAGAAACCCCAAACCAAGATTTCAATCACTTTGAACACAGCTTTGCACACTCACCGCTTTCTATGAGGTCTCCACTAAGTATGTCACGTAGAGACCAACCGCACAGAAATCACGTGGAAGTATAATGTGTCCCTCACATCAGAAAAGCAGTTTTATATACCGCCCTATATCACGCGTGATAATGAGGCATTCTTCCTTGCGGTTCATTTTCGGATTTCTGGAATTAATCCAGAGTGACTCGAGGGTTTTTCGCGCCTGTGTTCTCGATTCGCGTGCGAGGATCGTGACACATACTTCGAAGTCGTCCCCGTTATGTCTCTGGGTCCTATGCGTGCCTAGCGGGGTATTTGGTCTATTTTTGCCGGCTAGGTGTTCTTTCATGCGGACACAGAGGGGTCTACCCGTTTCACCAATGTATTCGTCACCACACGTCTTGCAGGAGATCAGATAAACTATACCCGAGCTCATGCAATCACCGTCTCTACCACTGGGGCAAATTATGCAATTTTGAGTTGCATATAGACGGTCATATAGGCGGTTACGAACTAGCTGGCGCTTAAGATTACTCGGTGGTATTTCAACTACGCTCACCGAATTCTCTAAGCCCGCCCTTCTTAAGCAGCGTTTTATAGCTGTACTTATATCATTTGAGATGAAGGGTAGGATAAACGGGACCCTTCTATCGCTAGAGTTGTCGTTTGGAGGCCTACGATTTCCTCTACACCTATCCTGAGCTACAGTTTCGTAGCCATTAGAAACGGCTATTTGCCGTGCCANTGCGGTTCATTTTCGGATTTCTGGAATTAATCCAGAGTGACTCGAGGGTTTTTCGCGCCTGTGTTCTCGATTCGCGTGCGAGGATCGTGACACATACTTCGAAGTCGTCCCCGTTATGTCTCTGGGTCCTATGCGTGCCTAGCGGGGTATTTGGTCTATTTTTGCCGGCTAGGTGTTCTTTCATGCGGACACAGAGGGGTCTACCCGTTTCATTTTTTTTTTTTTTTTTTTTTTTTTTTCAGGAGATCAGATAAACTATACCCGAGCTCATGCAATCACCGTCTCTACCACTGGGGCAAATTATGCAATTTTGAGTTGCATATAGACGGTCATATAGGCGGTTACGAACTAGCTGGCGCTTAAGATTACTCGGTGGTATTTCAACTACGCTCACCGAATTCTCTAAGCCCGCCCTTCTTAAGCAGCGTTTTATAGCTGTACTTATATCATTTGAGATGAAGGGTAGGATAAACGGGACCCTTCTATCGCTAGAGTTGTCGTTTGGAGGCCTACGATTTCCTCTACACCTATCCTGAGCTACAGTTTCGTAGCCATTAGAAACGGCTATTTGCCGTGCCATGCCATATGTTGGTTGTTGTGGTTCCATAGCAATTTTTAGTACTTGCAAGTAGCTTGCAAATTACCCTACTTCCTAGAACAGCATCTGGAATACCAGCTGGAAGAATAGCTGCAATGACGTGAACTCAGTTCTCTGACAGAAAAACTGTTTCATTCCAATTAATTTCTGTCTGTTCGCATGGCAAACAAAATCACCTTATCAAGCATTCTGAAAGGTGATGAATGCTGACGAGCGAAAGTGGACGACATGAACGAAAAGCGTCTTAAGTGACATCTGCTTGATTCATTATTTTTGAACGCTAACAAATGTACTTACTTACTTACTTACCTACTTACTTACTTACCTCGACGGTCCGTCTTCACGAGCTGT